TAAAGAGCCTCTGAGGGTGCCTGGCACCTAGTAGGCCTCAGTGCAGACTTAACCAGTAAGTGAATGCACGAGCAATCAGTACGTTCATACAACAAGCAATTTATTGGTCCTCCCTTCTATTTATAACAACTCAGAGCTAGGGGCTTGGGTGGCAGCAGATTCTTCCCCTCACCTGAGTGATGAGACAAATCATTTAACCTCTTGGGAATGCTAGGGCATGCTGGGGGGCTGAGAGACAACGTGGGGTGACGTGGACCAAGGTGTGTCGCTGTGGGTGTGGTGACGATTGTTGTGAGCTGGGAGTGAATGCTCGCCTTGAGCCCATGGCCATTTCTCTAGCCAGGGACCAGGGACCAGGGACCAGGGACCGGGAGGCCTGTGGGGATGCTGTGGCTCTGCAGATGCCTCTGACAGCACTTGAAGGATTGCTTTGGCCAGAGACCCACTCTTCAGCCGGCCTCCTCTATGACTCATTCTAGCTGCATATTTTGGTAGCGTGAAGGATCCAGATGAGATGAAAGAAGCACTGAAGAGTGGGAGCTCTTGGATCAGCACTTGAGAAGTATAATGTTCCTTACAGGTCATGCAGGCTTTGTTTTTATTTGAGATGAAATTCACATAACATAAAATTAACCGTTTTAAAGTGAACAATTCAGTGGCATTTAGTAATTCACAATGTTTTACAACCACTACCTCTATCTAGTTCCAAACCATTTTCACACTCCAAAATAAAACCTTTTACCCATGAACTCCCTACTCCACCCTCCCCCCAGCTCCTGGCAACCACCAATCTGCTCTCTGTTTCTATGGATTTACCTGTTCTGGATATTTCATATAAATGGAATCATGCAATATGTAACCTTTGTGTCTGGCTTCTTTTACATAGCATAATGTTTTTGAGGTTTCTCCTATGTATCATATACATATCAGTAGATATACACTGGTATATATCAGTATATATAGTGTGTGTATATATATATATCTATATAGGCACATATCAGTATATATAGTGTATATATAGATGGATAGATAGATAGCTACTGGCATATATCAGGCATGTGTCAGTAGATCATAGAGTTTCAACAGGTACCCAGAATACCCAAAGATAAACCCCCCACAAAAAGAGGGAGTCTTCTAGCCACTATCCTTTACATCCCAGATTCTGCCAGGAGGAAGGGGAATGGACTAGATTCATCGTTCCCCAAATAAGCTGCATTAGAGAACCTGGTGGTATAATCTTTTAAAAGTACTGATTCCCCCCCCAGTCAGAGGGATTCTGAATCAGTGGTTCTGGGGTGGGGCCTCTCTGGTGATTCTGACCGTTAGCCGGATTTGGGGCCCCCGAACCCGGTGACCTCTGGGGGTTATCTTGACTCTTAACAACCTTCCTGTGAGGCTAGCAGAGCCCCCCCCCCCCCGGATGCTGTTTGTTGTTTATGATGTGGTTTCTGTATGCAGAGTCCGTGGCATGCGATTTTTCTCTCTTTGCCTTCTGAGGGGAGGCATTGGGCCCCTCCCTGCTGCTTTTATAGCTCTGATTAATTGTGCCTCATTTATCAAGCTCCACTACGTCCTGTGAGCTAGAGATGGGAGAGGGAAGGTTGTTCACACCCTGGGGTTGCGGTTATAACTGATTGCACATCAAGGTTACGTTCCTGGAAAAGCTGCCCTCCCTGCCCAGCGTCTTCTGGGTCTGTGTGTGCCCGCCCCTCTCCACAGCTGTTTGTGGGACCCGAGTGAGCAAGGCTGATAAGACTCATCTGGTAGCCTGCAGCTGCCCCAGAGGGCTGGTGATGGGGAAGGCTCAGGGGGAAAGGACAGGGGGTGGAAAAGGAACCAAACAAAGCAGACACCACTCATTAAGTGCAGGAACCTAGCTTGGGGACCCTCGAGTGTTCTTGATTGCTGGGGCTGCCCTGGGCCTCTGGTTTCCTGGTCACTTTCCATGGAGAGCCGGCTTGGACTTCTTCCTCTTTCCCCATGAGAGGGTGGGGTGGGGCGGGGAATGAAGACAGAGGGGAGATGGAGAGGAGGAAGGTGAGGACAGAAAGCAGAATGATGTCTTTGTGTTAATGAAATTGCCTGCCTGCCTGCTGGCTCCACCGTCCGTCCTCTTGGTGCGTGGATTCTTGTGGCTGACTCTGGGCTGGTGCTTTGGGGGGATGGGCACCTAGGCTCCCTGGGGGATCAGCCGTGACTCAGCCGCTGCTGGCGCTCCCCAGGGAGTTACTCCCATGACCAGGATGTGCCCATGCCGACATCTGGCCAACGAGGGAGCTGAACTGTTTGTGTGAGTTGCCTAGTGGCCCTTGGACAAACCATTGCTCGCCAGGGATTTTTTTTTTCTCCCCACTGGGCTGCCCTTTTACAGTCTGCTGCTGTTAGGAATAAAAGGGACATCTAATAAAGTAAGAAAAGTCTCTCTCTTTTTTAAAAGGTGTTTCACCAAGCTTGCCTTCTAGGCTTTCTTTGTGAAAAAGCCCTTGGATGTTCTGAGGCTTGTCCTTCGTGCTGCCCTCACCCCTTCACTCTCAGGATTGGTTGAGGGGCCTCATAAATCTCATGTCCTCTGAGTAGAGAGACTAAAGCAAGTTGTGTTCAGACCTCTTTCCCACTCTGATCGCTGAAGGCTTTGTGACCTGTTCAGAGTGTTATTTGATTGTTACCTGCCAGAGGGGCTGTTCTGAGGTTGCCCACATTGAATATTGGTGGGTTTTTTCATCCCAGACCCTGGATGAACTTGAGAGATTCTTCTAGGTTCCAAATCCTTTATTGTATTGATGTTTGCAACAGTTCTTTATTTATTCCTTTCTGGGTCTAAGAGTTTTGGAGGGGAGAAGGCTTTTAACTTGAATTCCCGGGGCACTTGGGCTGGTGGGCTTCTGATCCATAGATGCTTCCAGATTCTTCCCACAGAGGCATGGGCTGGAAGGAGTGGGGGAAGAGGGAAGGCTGGGGTAAGGTGTCAGCGGCTGGTGGAGAGCCCCTTAGCCACTTCCTCCCTGTAGCATTCTGGGTTAAATTATTTATTTATTTCTATTTTGTATTTGCACTTCTCTGTCGATGTTTGCCTGGACTTATCTCTCTGGGAGTGAGAAGGAACATTTTGGAATGACATTTTCCTAAAAAATATCTAGGGTCTTTTTCCTTAAGGAGGTCTCATTTCAGATATTTTCCCGAAGAGTTTGGATCCTGGATCAAATTAGATGCAGGTTCTTAAGACCCAAAGTAAAGTAGTTAAGGATTAGCTCCTTTGTCATTCTGTCTGCCAAGTTTGTGGCACAGGTGTTTCCCTTCTCCCTTGTGACATCTGAGAGCACCTCAAGGAGTGGGTGGGGCAAGCTAGGGCACGGTGGGGTGAGGAAGGGAAAGGAGAAAGGAGCTGTGGGGAGGGGAGCGTTTTCTGCTGCAGAGCCTTGATGGGAGGACAGCTCGGAGAGCAGATCAGCTCAGGCTTGTACTGTACTTTGTATCAGTTCAAGAGGTCAGGGTGGGAGGACTGTGCCAGCTGGACTGTGCAGAGAGGCTGCTCAGAGCCCAGAAGCTTGATTTCCTTCTGCATGTGCCCTAGACAGCTGATGGACTCGGCTTCTCCCAGACATTGCTCAGCAAGAGGCAGGGTGCATGCTTGTGATTTTGGGGGTCTTTGTCCTGATGGCGAATGTTAACACCAGCTCTCAGAATTTATGTTGGTAGGGACATCAGTTTGCCCTTCACACAGGGGGTGCAGCGTATGGCTCCGGTGTCCTAAAATGCCAGCCTGTCCATCAGTGACAGGTGAAATGGGAAAAATAAAAGTAATGTAGTCAGTTTTTCATAAAGCAAAAACTATCTAAAATAACTGGCCTTCATTCTGAGATTATATCCTCCCTCAGTTTTTGGTATTAAAATGTCCTTTTTTAAAAAAATGACACTGATTATAGATGGCGGTTGTATTGTTTAGGAGGGCTAGCTACATAAAAGATGAATCCCGGAAGCTCAGTGGTGTAAATTTATCTCCTAATTATGAGAAGTTCAAAATGAGCGGTACTGATTAGTGGAGGGCCTTCTCCTCTGGGATGTGGGCTGCTTCCGTCTGTCGTTCTGCTCTCCTCTGGGACCCCAGAGACCTGAATGCAGCCTGCGGATAGGAAAGAAAACAGGCTATGTGGGGCACTGACTGCCTTCTCTCTCATTCCATTGGCTGGAACTCGGTCCCAGGGCCGCAGCCCACTGCCAGGCAGCCTGGACAAGAGGCTGCTGTGTCCTCAGGAAGCAGAGGAAACATTCAGAGAACGGCAAGTCAAGCTCTCACCCAGTGGCTGTTTTTGTTTATGTCCTTACCTGGCAGAATAGAAGTGGCCAACCAATCCTCTGTTGGCCTTCCCAATTTATTTCCATTTTACTGGTTTATAAAATCCAGAAGTCTGGCAGCTACTGTTAGTGATAATCCAAAGGTTCGGGGCACTTCAAAACTAACTAGATAACACTGCGCCGTGATGTTTTTCTCTTGTTCTTGCTTGTTACGAGCTAAGGATGAGTGATGTCAGGCCAGATGTCAGGCTCTCTCTGCAGGCCAGAGAGAGCACCGGTTTGAACAGAGGTTTGAAAGCGTGGGGTCTTTCTGGCCTGTGCACTTTTTTTGAATGAGATGTTTCAGGGTTTTGGTTTCAAACTTTGTGCATACATGTCCCATGTATGGAGTAAAAATGAGATTAACCAGAGATTGATTTCACAAAGGACAAAAATAAGCAAAGTAATTAGTTATGCCAGTGAGAGCCTGAGAAGATTTTTTCAATCCAGTTATATCCCAAATAGCAGAGGACTAGTGTCGCTTCTAGGAGAAGTTGAGTCTGGTAGAATCCGCATAGAGGGAAAAATAGGGCACCCTGGCCTAATGCTCCAGATTTAAGAATCTTAGTCATTTCTGAGTGAGAAAGGAGGAGAGAGAGTCTTGCTTTAGAATGTTTGTGGCCGTCACTCCTCATGGGTCCTAATTCCTGTGTTTTGATCTCTTTCAGGTTAGTCTGAATGATTCCCACAATCAGATGGTGGTGCACTGGGCCGGAGAGAAAAGCAACGTGATTGTGGCCTTAGCCCGAGACAGCCTGGCGTTGGCGAGGCCCAAGAGCAGTGATGTAAGTATTCATCTTGCTCTGGGCACTGCTCTGTGCCGCCCACGTGACCTTTTCTGATCTGTCGGGGTTATAGTGCCAGAAAAATAGTGGGAAATTGGAGAATGGATGGAATGAATTATGGGAAAGGGAAGAGAATCTGGAAAATAATATATCCCCCTTGTTTGCTGAGCATGGGGGTGCGGTCAGTGTTGCAAAGGGATCCATATGATGTGTGATTACTTTTGTGAAGGGGTAGGGTATGATCTGGATCCTTGTATCTGCTCAAGAAAATACCAGAAGTGCATTCCTGGGCAGGGCTGCCCATCTGAACTCCCTCTGCCCGATGGAATCTCGTTGGTCTTTCCCATGTGCTGATTTCTCCTGACCCGTTACAGTTGGGTGAGTTGACAACTCATATTCTGATTTGCTCATATTCTTAATTTCCATAGCTGGCTTTCTACAATGGTTAATAGTTTAGGTGCTTTGAAGACATGAGACCAAAGGTCACAAGCTCAAAGGCCTGTGACAGACCAGGTGGGTAATGGGCAGAGTGAAGCTGCCTCCACATTTACCACGCCGCCTCCTCAAAGTGTGTGGCTCTCTGGGACAATATGTCATTTTCCCACTTTTGATAGAGGTACAGGTTCAAGAAACAGTCACCTGAATCTTAATTTGAATGTGGTGACTGATACTTGGTCTGTGTTTGAGAGACCCTAGGAAGTGGAAGAGACTTTGACAAACTGAGAATAAATGCTTCTGAGGGCGCTGTTGTTAGCAGCTCTCAGCTCTGGTCGCCATACAGGGCTCTGTGTTGCCAGATCTGATTTTTTGAGAGAAGCTCAGAGGTCTGGATTTTTTGTGAAAACTGCTGAGTCTTATAAGTTGGCATCTAATGTGTAGTTTTTACAAACACCCTGTGGGCCAAGTAAAACATATGTGAGGGCCAGAGCTGGCTTTGGGTCCCCAGTCTGCAGTCCCTGCTTCCGACTGCCCCTTGTGGGGAAGAGGAACGAACAGTCCCTGCCTCGGGTCAGGGTCTGATGTGGTGACAGAGTGAGGATGTGGGCCGAAAACCACACAAACCTTGTAGACCTTCGGTCACTGTGCTCTGGCCAGAAGAAACCTCCTGAAGAATTGGCTAGCACTGTCACCTCAGCCTTAAGGACACACTTGTAATTCTTGAGTGTAGATTTGGTCTCCGTGAGGTCCCTCTCTGTGTGTCCACGATCAGGACTGGATGTGCTCTGAGGTAGGTGACTGGAGAGGGCCCCAGGGGCTGTTTTCTAGTGGGTAGAATAGGGGCAGCCGCAGACAGGGAGGGCTATCATGCTGTCTGGCTTTGCCCAGGGTGGGTGCTGAGCAGTGGCTGGTGGGAAACGGCTGCAGCTGACAGCAGTCTGGGTGTGGTGCTCTGGAGCAGGGCTAGACTTGTTTGGGGCAATGCCTTTGGCCCATTTATAAACGTGATCAGAGTTTGCAAGCACAGATGGCAGCATATTGGTGCCTGTTGGCCCTGTGAGGGTCCGTAGGCACCTGTGCATGTATTCGGCATGGTCACTGCGCATAGGCATCCTGTTTGAGCACAGGAGACTGCTCTGTGCCCTACTGTGTTGAGGAATCCTCAGGGTTTTTATGCATTAAAAAAATTCTTTGCCGAGATAAAATTTTTTGCAAGATAGGTAAAAGACCTTAACTATTGTTTTATGGTTTTTTGCTGGACAAACAGAAGCCTAGAGACATTAAGTGACTTGCATGAGGTCACTCATCGTGTCTGTGGGACAGCTGGGGCTTATGAGAATTAAGACCTGATCACGTACTTGGTATGTGAGGATGTGGTGTTGCTAGGGTGACCAACTTGTCTGGATTTTAGCACTGAAAGTCCCATATCCTGGGACCTTCCTCAGTCCAGGGTGGTGGGTCACCCTCAGTATTGTCAGTCTACCCAAGACTAGTTCTCACTCTGTCCAAATATTTGGGTGTATCTTACTAAGAACCCATTGAACATTTGAAGTGATGAACTATTCTGGAATGAAATATATGATAAGATTAAATGGAAAGGAAACTTAATGCTTGGAGATAATAAATGAATGGTAGAGATTTCCCCCGTTTGTATACAAGCTACATTAAAGAATTGGCAGATGAAGCTGAGATGTTCTGATGTGAAAAGTTAATGCAAAAATAAATTATGACTCAGAGGCAGAAGTTGGTGGTGCCATAGTAGAAACAATCCAAATTTTCTCAAAAGAAGACTGGCAGCATGGTTCGTAAGTCCCCATCAGCAGTCGAAAAGGGAAAGAAGCTATACAAATAAGGAACTGTGTGAGTGTTGGAGAATGGCCAAGTCAAGCATCTTCAGTATATAAAATAGGGATGGATCTGGAAGCTGGAATTCTAAAAGATTTGCTTTTAAACAGAAAACAAAAATGAATAATGTCCTGATGAACTTGTACCCAGTGTGATTTCATGAAGAACAGCTCCTGCAGGACCCATCTTTTTCTGTGATAAGTCTGGTAGATGAAAGCAAAGAATAGGTGTTATTAATTTTGACCTTTCCCACCTCTCTTTCTGCCTTCTCCTGACATATTTTATGATGTAATCGGGTACAAACAAAATAGTTGACCAAAGAGCTATCCAGTGATAGTGTCCACCAGAAGATCAGAATCAGACAGGGACGGTATCAGGAATGGTAGGACTCGCTGCCCTTGTAACCAGAGTTGGGTGACATTATGCTTGGTGCTTCTCAGGATTGACTGGGTAGCAGGACCCATACTTGCTGACAGCGCAGAACTTGGTAGCGCGTGGCAGCTGGTGTCTAGCTGAGCCTGGCTCTGAAATCAGAATGCCTGGGTTTGAATCCTGGCTCTGCCATTCATTAGCAATCTGACCTTGAGCCAAGTCGTTAACCTTCTCTTGGTCTTCTTATCTCTCAATGAGATGGTACTTCTAGAACCGTGCCCTCTGGGTGTGGTCTGTGTGTGGATCAGCAGCTATGGGTATTTTCTGGGAGCTAGTTAGAAATGCAGAATCTCCTGAATCAGAATCTCCATTTTGACATGTCCTGCTGGGTGATTTGTAGGCATATGACAGTTTGAGAAGCACTGGTGCAAAGTACGTAGAACAGTGCCAGATACAGAGATGTTGTCTGTGCATTTTAACCCTCTTCGCCTCCTCCCCCTCTCCCACCTCTTTCTCTCCCCATCCTTTCCTCTTCCCTCCCTTCCACCTGCTCCTAATTATTATATGGTTTTGAAGTACAGGGGAGAGAATTTAAAACTTTTCACTTCGAAGGACTGTCTGTGAGAAGGAACATCTGTATAGGTAAGACAGTGGTCTAACTAGCAACTGTTGGCAGTTGAGTAACTCCTCCCTCCTTTATTTCGTTGTTTAGGGACTAGTGTCGTATTGAGGTCACAGAGGACTGATTAGTGCAGAAGCATGGACCTGGGTGAAAAACCTACTATAGAAGCACAAAATGAGGGAGTACAGGGTATTTGGCCAAATTCACCTGAAGGTCACAGAGGGCAGCGAGTCACAGCCTAGTGCTGCCATGAAGAAAAGCCAGCCCGAACCAGAATGTACCAGTGGGGGTGCCAGGTGGAGACCATGAGGCCGTCAGCCCGCTTGGCATTATTGAATGCTGGCAGAGGCCTTTTCTGGGCTCTTCAGTGTGGAGGAAAGTGGATAGCTGTGCACAGCCTGATCTTGGTCTCTGTCCTATGGAGCTTAGGGTCTATGTTAATCAAATAGAAATAAAAATTAGGATTGGATAAAAATATTGTGTTGGAATTGTTCAGCCTGGAGAACGGAAGAATGGTGGATGAGTAATTTACAAGAGCATTCAGGCATAGGATAGACCCTTCCATACTTACTCAACTTCTATTAAGCGTAAGACCCAAAGAGATGGGGTTGTTTACAGGTGAGAATTAGGGAAGAGCTTTTTGGTAGTGAGGGCTGTTGTACTTCTGAGTGTGAGATGGCAGAGGTATGGCTGAGAATCTCGGAGAGGCTCTCTACTCAGTTAAAGTCAGTCCTTCCTTGCTGCTCTCCAGCACTCCTTCCACTGCCTGGCTGGTAGATTCGGCGTATGATCTTCCTCTTTAACAGAGAAACATAAGTATGTAGACAAGAACATTCTCCTAGAAGGGTAACTTGCAACAGTGGAATGACAACTGGACTTGGAGTTGGAGGACCCATTAGTTTCGTCGCTTACTAGCAGTATGAAGTGGTGAGCTGGGGCTTCAACCAGACTTTAGTGATTGATGAGACTCTGTGAGTGGAGGACCAGGGAGGGCCTTCTAATGGAGTGGAGCTTGACTCAGGAAACAGGGAGAGACGAATTTGGGGGGTGGACAGGAGGCATGTAGAAAAATTTAAGTGATAGTTTGGTTGAAGAGATGGCATCTGTAGACACTAAAAAGCCATGAAAGAAATTGTGTTTTCCTTATTTTCTGCTACTGGAGCCATGCAGTGAAGGAGAAGTTTTGGGATTACATCACAACACTGTAATGTGTGAGAGTCCTGGGGTGTGGCTGAAAGCCTGGAGGACCTGAATTTTCCATATATATATATATGGGGTTGTATAGAGTGCTTATAGCATACATTGTATTGGGCTGAACGTGGAATCCTAAGTGAAACCATTTATCCCTTTGGCTGTTGGTGCCGCCTGTTTTATATGGAGCCAGCGAAGTCCAAGACTGAGTGGCATTGTATTAGGATGATGAAGCTCTCTAGGCAAGAGTCCCTTCATCAGGGGATGTGCAGCTTGCTACCTGGATGGATGCCCGGCTACAACTTCCATGAAAGTTTCACATGATACAGATATGAAGGAGGCAGGATCCTGTGCCTAATGGCTGGCAACAGGCAGGGAGACATTTTCCTAAACCAGCAGCTGGCGCAGCACTGTCAGGACATCACGCCTGACATCCTCCTTTGCCCGAGTCTTACCTTCTTCCTCTAAGTATGAGGATATTCTCTGATGTTTTGGCCAATCCACATATATGGAATCCCTTCAGTTTTACCAATGAGAGCTCATTTCTAAATTCATGCTAATTAAACGAACCACTCATTTCACCAGTGAAAAGTTATTTCTGATATTCAGTAAGCTAAGTAGCAAAGCCTCTGGTGCTTATCAATATATGACTAGCTTATAATTTTATTTTTTTTATTTTTTATTTTTTTTCCCCCAAAGCCCCAGTAGATAGTTGTATGTCATAGCTGCACATCCCTCTAGTTGCTGCATGTGGGACACGGCCTCAGCATGGCCAGAGAAGCAGTGCGTCGGTGCACACCCGGGATCCGAACCCAGGCCGCCAGCAGCGGAGCTCGTGCACTTAACCCCTAAGCCACAGGGCCGGCCCATATGACTAGCTTAAAGAGACGTGAATAGCTGAAACGCACAGCCAGGTCTGAAATGTGACACTTTCTGATACAAGACTAGCTGACCCCTGGAATCTGAATTCTCTATTAGGGTCAATGACTGTCCCTGAAGGTAACGCTTGAACTAACTGATCTATGCGTTGTGTATTACCGTCAATGCTGAAGAATATTTTATGAATTTCTTAATTTGTTAAAAAAATTACAGAAAGAGCGTCTCCTGTCCATCAGTTAATTCAGTTTACTTTATAGTCCCAACACGATAACTACAGCATGTTTTCTGTTTTTAATTTGCTCTTTACCTTTGCCACACAGTTATTCTCTTCACTTTGGCCAGTCATTAACTTCTCTGAGTCTTAGCTTTTCTTATCTGTTAAGTGGAAATGAGGATTCACTCAGTCACTTACTGATTGATTCATGTCACTCTCTCTTATTCATTTATGGAACACATTCCTTTACTTGTTCTGTGGTTTATAGTGATATTTATTCATTCCAGAAATCTTTACTGAGTGCCTGCTGTGTTCCAGGTACACTGAGGGAGGCGAAGGTGAGACTAACTCAGAGTTTTTGAAGATGAGGAGAGATAATATATACAAGAGTATTGCATACTGAAAAATGTTACCCTAATGTGAATCTAACATTGCATTTGGGCCTCTGTGGAGGTAACTCACAGGGGAGTGTCAATTTATAGGACGTTGGAGCTGAAAGGGGCCTGAGTTCCCTTTTCTAGAAGCTGTTAGTTTGCTTCATGTGACTTCTGAACCTAAGAGGGACGCTTAATGTCCATTCTCAGCCAGGAGAACAGAAGTGAGAAAGAACCACTTTGTTTTGTACCCTCTCAGATTGTCGGCGAACTCGCAACCTGCTGGATTTCTGAAGCTGCTGTCGTAGCAGCCCTTGGCTGCGTGTTTGGTAGCCGGAAACGTACGCCATGTTTAAGCGTTTGTGTTCATAACAGAGTTTCTTCCGCTGTGACCCAGATATTGGCAGAGGCCCTATCTGTGCTATTCTCCAACTTTGACATCTAATAAATATTAATAACCTGAGTGTGCTCTCAGTTCCCTTGGTACATACCTTGTGTAGTTCATTGTTCACAAGCATTTACGAGTTTACATTTTCTCTCAAGTCTAGGTCTTTGTATGTGTGGTGCCTCGCACAGTACCTGGCTCATGTGAAACCCTCACAACACGTTTGCTGTTGAATCAATGGGCACTGGTAGCAGTACACTTTCTGGGATTAACCTAGTAATTCCCATTCTTCTTGGGATTCACCTGTTATTTTTCTTTAATGCTTATTCCAGTTCTAACTAAGTATTATTAATGTTATAGTCATCTATCAGGCTTGTGTTTAACCCACTGTTTATATTAATTTCCAATTGCATATAGTAAAGTCCAGGTACAAAATATCTGACAACTTCCATGCTACCATCCATTACCCATGGTGTAATGGCTTTGCGATTCCTGGCTTTGGAGGCAGGTGGCTTGGGTTGAAATCTCGCACTGCTGCTTACTTTCTCTGTTTCTTTGGCAGGTAACAAATCATAAGCCCCTGTTGCTTTATCTGTAAAATGATTTTAATAATTGCATTTGCCACATAGGGTTGTGGTGAGAGCTGCCTGAGCGCATTTGTTTGAAGAGGCTGGTACAGTATCTGGCACCACGTAAGCACGCAGTGAATGACAGTTATTCTTCTGTTTTATACCGTGGTTACTGGATGGCCAGAGACCAGGAAGCAGGAGAGAAGTAAATACCATTGGCACGTGGTGGGTCCTGCTGCACTCTCCCATACTCAGAATCTCCCATATTATAGAACCAGGGGACGCGAGTGCTGGGAAAGGGATTCTGGTGCCTGTCTATGTCACCTCTGTGCATATTTAATCATTTAGCACCCTTTCTTTTTCATCTCTTGGGCTACTCTGTGAACACCCAGGGGGGTTTTCTTTTTTTATCTTATGGCATGCTGTAAGATCAGAACTTCCCAGCAGAGGGATGAGGAATTTGATTACCTTTTGGGGACATGTCAACAGATGGCAAAACAAATTCTCAATCCCTTCCCCTCGGACAACCACATTCTCTCTGCCTCTGGATGTAGTTTGTTAACACTTAACCCAGCCATGGTCAGGAGCTTATCATTGTTTCCATCCATTGGTCTCCCCCTCCAGGGACTTGTCTTGGCTTCAGAAAAGAGGCCTCTGTATTCCAGGCAGCAGTGGCTGCCGGGCTCTCGTGCTTTCTGCCCCCACCTGCTTGGGGACAGGCACAGAGGTGCCCTGCTCCTCTTTGTGGATTATTTTTTCACATCTGTAATTTCATGGTATCAGGGACCTATTGGGAACCATGTTCAGGATCTAGGGCGGGGCGTTTGAAAGTGAGAGATCTTTCTGCCACATTTCTCACCAACTCTTTTCATTTGCCTCCCCTCCTCTGTATTCCAGGTGTATGTGTCTTACGACTATGGAAAGTCATTCAAGAAAATCTCACAGAAGTTGAACTTCGGTGTGGGAAATAACAGTGAAGTTGTGATCTCCCAGTTCTACCACAGTCCTGCGGACAACAGGCGTGTAAGGAAGTGGCTGTCCCACCAGGCGTGACTTCGTGGGGCTGTATTTTGGGATGATGGCTGCACTAAAAGGGGGGCTGGGAGATGGAGCTCTTTGTCATCTCTGCAGCATGACTGGTGGCCAGTGACGGTTTTTCTGCTAACCTGGGAATTTGTGACAGAATACAGTTCTCAGGGTGGAACCGTATATAATCAAACAGGCCCGGTACCGGCCAGGCAGGATTTCTAGACAAACAGTGGCAGGTTAAAGCACAGAAAATCTGCCGACTAATAAATTGCCTGACTCATAGGTGGTAAAAATGTTACCCAGGTGCACTGGGACTTATGCTGCAGTCTAATCCAGGCCTTCCAGGGCGGCTGCTGAACACCTGGTTCATTTGCATCACGAGTGCATGTGTGTGTGCATGCGTGTGTGCGTGCTTATGTGCTTGCACAACCCCTCCCTCCAGCCTATACCATATGGAAGAGAAAGCCGTGATGGCAGATACATGCTTCCTGATTTGTTTTCCCAGCTGCCTGGCCCGGGGCTGTGTTTCTGCGGTAGAACCGGGCAGTTTGATTTGGAGGAAGCATTGACTTGAGATTGCCCTGGGCCCCAAGGGAGGCACGGGGTGGCGGGGGTGGGAAGGGCAGGAATCTGGCAGCCTGCAAGGCTTTCCTGCTGGTTAGGAAGGTAGCTTTAGCTCAGATAGTTCTGTCTGATGGCTTTCTTCCCCACTCTGGCGATCCCTAGCTCATTTCCAGGGTAGGAAGGCTGCTTCTAAGGATGCTGAAAACTCCCTAGTAGTAACAGCTTTCTGAGGTAAGGGTAAGAGAGGGAGACCCACAGGGTCCTCTACCCAGGTGCCTCCCAGTGCTTGCTTCTCAGGTTGCCTGTGGTCTGTTAGCAGGGGTTGTATTCAAAGTATTTAGCCACTGGAATGATGCCGACCAACCAGAACAGACTCAGTCTGGAGGGAGCTGGTCCTGAAGGCCACCCTGCTGGGCTAGGCATTAACCTTTTAATTGCTGGATTGTGGGGAGGTCCTAGGGAAGGGCCCAGCCTTTGGGGCTTTAGGAGGGGCCACTCAGGGTTTCTGGGAAGCAGCTATTCACTAACAGGTACAGGAGCAATTGTTTTTTTAACAACTATAATAGTTATTATTGGTACATACTGGTTAACCTCAGTCTTGCCTAATAATCTCAAGGTGGAGTGGCAGTTAGAAACTGACTCTCTCTTAGCTACTCCAGGGTGACAGAGCAACTTTTCCTCCTGTGATAGAAAGCAAGGGAGAGCTGTTGGAGGGAATTGGCTCTGCAGACAAGCCTGTACCACTCCCCACCCACTGTGCTGGGGCTGGGCAGGCCTGGTACTCAAGGCTCCCAGAGTTGGGGGGACCCCCTGTCCCCTTTGCTCTTGGCTCTTATGAGGTGAGGGAGCCCTGCCCCAGGGTTCAGCTCGATGGCTGTGTCGCATCGCCTGTGGATAGTTCTGTATGTCCCTGCCTCCCGAGAATCAAATAACGCTTGGATTACTCACATTGTAAGGTTGTGCCTATCTATTATTATCATCATCATTATTTTCACACTTTGTCCCAGAGCTAACTCTTGGTGAAGGTGTTGCCTTGAAACCACCGTTTTGTGTCTCTGCAGTCTCCTTCTTCGGCTCCATCTGTCCCCTCCTCACCTCCTACCATGGGGCGCAGATGTCTGTAAGCAGGTTCTGTCTTCCTTCCTGCTCGTCATGGGTTGTGGTGAGCAACTGCTAAACCCGTAGGTCTGAGTAGTCAGAAGACAGGAAAGATGGTAGGATGGGCTTGCAGGGGGAGGTTTGGTGCAGGGAGGGGATGAGGAGGAGATAAGGGGATAATGGTTGGAGCACTGGATCTGGAGAGGGAACAGGGCAGTGGCCAGGGCGTTGGCAAGTGGGGAGGAAAACAGGGGATGGTTGCCATAGGGAGTTTTAGGTGCTGCGAGGTGAGGCAGGAGCAGCATGCCTGCAGCCTGAGTGCCATCCGCCTTGAGGAGGGGTGCATCGTAGGTTTCTCACGGTTGAGTTGCATACGTTTGGAAGTTGGTGGGGAGACTCAGGAGGGGCCGCTTCTTGGAGAACTTAGTGACAGTGGGCCTTGGCCTGGGACAGGCCGAGTGAGGTTAGGGATGCAGCTTTCTCTGTTGAGTGTCTAATTCCCCAGAGGAGGCTGTTAGCCCTCCCCAGACTTCTCAGGAAGGAAGTGATGCTCTTATTGTGCTGCTTACTTTGTTTCCTTTGTCCCTTGGAAGGCAAATTGGCCCACCAGACCTACCACTTCCGGAGGAAAGTCATGCAAGGTGCTGGGCCCAGGCCGGTCACCTGTGTGAAGTGTTAGGCGGGCTGTCAAGGAGCGTGATTTGAAATGGTTGCAATGACGGTTAGCAGCTGCTCTGAAAGGTTAAGATGTCATGAAAGGGCCGCATGGAAGCCTGGGGGTGTGTGTGCCTGTGGAAGGGGAAGAAGGTACTCGTCAGTCAACCAGCTCTGGTCCAGTGACTTTGCCATGTGACGAGTGGCGTGGTTGTGGGGTCCTGTGTGTGTTTGCATCTGTTTTCACATTAGCCAGCGTCCCACTTCCTTCTCCTCTGTCCTCTGTGTGTTCCCTGAGCCAGTGTGCAGCTCTAGGCACCTGGCAGTTCCACCCGCCTCCTAGCGCACTCAAGATCAGTCAGGCACTGTCTAAATATGTCTGGGGCTCTTTGAAAAAGGTCACTGAGTGTATAGTTAGGCTTCATAACCTCAGCAGAAGCAAGAGCTGATCCTCCCTTTTTCCAGGCAGAGGTTGGTCCTGAGTCCAATTGTAAGACAGCTCTCTCTTTTTCCCTTGGTTCCCACTGCCCTGAGGGATGGTCCTGCATTGTCTCCTCTGCCTTTCCTCCTCTCGTTGTACTCTTGGTGTCTCCACTCAAAACAGGAGAGAGTCATTTATGCTAACGTGGAGATAAATTCTGTAGCTTATTTTGTTATCTTTCCAGAAGTATTTGTATTTTTAAAAGGAAACATAGCTTTACGCTGAAAGTGAAGCTCCTCTGGAATATTATGTGATTGCAGACAGGGTTGGGGATGTGGGGGTGCTCCAAAAATTGTACTTTAGGAAGGACCTAGTAGGTCAGCTCTGCTGGCAAATCCGTGGGGTCGGCCTCAAGTGGACTTGACAGCCAGGCACTCTAGGGACTTAAAAGCAGAGTAGGACATCCTGTGCATTCCCATTATGTGCGTACATGACACGGTTCCATAATACCGTGGAGCAGCACATGCCTAAGGGGTGAAAGGAAGCTGAGGTGGTTAGAGCTGGAGGATTAAATGAGGTTGGATGAGAGCAGTGAAGGCTTCATGGAGTACTTGGGATTAGGAATGGAGCTTCAAAAATGGGCATGATTTCAGTAGTAACAGCAGAGTTGGTGGGAGCCCTCGAGGAGGAGAGAGGCGTGGGCAGAGACTTCAGGGTGCAAGGATGTGCTTTCTGGTACGGGCAGTGAGGAGATTCACTTCTCGGGGGTGGACGGTTTGCATTGAGGTGCTTTGTGACATCAGTCAGGCCCCTGTCTGCAGATGGAGGAGTTTGCTTTTTGCCTTGAGGTCTGTAAGGAGCCATGGAAGATTCTTTGAGTAGAGAAATTGCTGTGAATAATGTCTTTTAAAGGAATGTGTCTCCTGGTGATATGCAGGAGGGATTGGAAGAGAAAGACTAGAGAAGAGTCAGAAAGGGAAGCATTGGTAGTATAGGCATGAAATTGCTCAGTCACTCAACCAACCCTAACATCACTCTGTAAGCACTTCACACCCTGGTGGGGCCTGGAAGATGCGAGGATGAATAAAACCCAGTGCCTACCCCCAATTTGCTTATAGTCCCTAGTAGGGACATGGGCCACACTAGTAGCCTTGGGAATAAAAACAAAACAGATTGTGAAAATATTTTAAAGGAAAACCTAACTGGGTAGGTGGCTGATTGAAACTGAGGGGCGAAGGAAGGCATTGGAGTGAAAACCCAACTTGGTGAGTCATGGGGCTGGGAGAAGGTGTAGCATGGCTAGATGTGGGGTGTGGGAGGGAGAGTTGGGTTTTGGTGGGAAGGTGTCGAAGAATTCAGTTTTGGACATGGTGAAATATCTTGGCACAGCAGAGGGGAGATGCTGAGAAGGTCAAGAGGTAACGAAATTAGACTCTCCGGGAGAAGTCAGGGTTAGACCATAATATGAAAGGCATGGAATGCTGGTTCTTAGAGGCAGTAGTTGGAGCTGTGTGGAAGGATAAACCAAGTTAGCAGCAAAGATGGAAGAGTGATGAGCTTATGTGAGGGTGGGGAGCAGACAAAGACAAAGGAGCCAGCAAAAGAGAATCAAGGACAGAGAAAGTCAGGGGTGGGGGATGGAGAGCTGAGATGAGTCAGTGTCACAGAGGGCAAAGGAAGAGAGAGTTTCCAGTAAAAGCTTAAGGAGTGGATTAACAATGAAGTGTATAAATGAGCCCAACAATACAATGTAAGACCTATGAATTAAATTCAAGAAATGCTTCCCTTTTTGTTGAAAGAAGAGAGGTAAGGATTGATGAATTGTTAAGAGATGGCTCTGAACCAGCCAGCCATTGATGTAAATGCTTCCTACTCCTGGGTCGCCTTGGGCAGTTAACCTGTCTAAGCTTCAGTGTCCTCGTTAATAAAAGAGGAGGTAGTATCTAATGCATTGAGTTGCTGTGAGTACTCAGTGGACTAAATGAGATGCAAAACTTTTAGCTCAGTGCCTGGTACATGCTAGGTGCTCTTTAAAAATTTTAGCGATTATCATGAACAATAAAAGGTTCTATGAGGGTGCATCATTTTTAGATTCTCAAATGTGAGACTGCAGAAAGCCATGGAATAGATTGCTGGAGAAATCTTTTCAAACTGGCAACGCTCCCTTCCCCAATAACCAAGCTGCTTTCGGAGCAGGAAGATGGGCTAAGTTATTTCTAGGGAACACTTTTATGCCAAAAATTATGATGGTCCCCTTAGCATCATAATTGTTTTTATAACATTGCATTTGCTTATAGTAGTTTTTGCTTTCAAAACATTTATTACCCTTTACAGTTAGATTTAATTAGGCTTCTATAGAGTTTGGAGTTTTACATTAGATGTGGTGGAGGAAACACAAGAAAGAGAAGAAAACAAAACATGTTCCTGGGAAGTTTACAGTCTAGATTTGGGGAGAGAGAGCACAAATGAAAAGGAGTGAGAACGTATGAAAGTGGCACGCGAACAAGTGCAAAGTATTAGTGCAGCCAGAGCTGTTAGACATGGGAAAGGAGTCCGAGCTGGAGAGTGATCTGGATCAGGTGGAATCCATTAGGGAAAGTGCCCTTGGACTGATGCCTTTGGATTATTGATTTCTGGGATTTCGGTGACTGGTTATTGGTGGAGCTGGGTCTGACTTGCTCTGGTTTCTGGTTCACAGTAATCTACCGAGCCACCCTCGTTCCTCTGGGAGCAGGGGCTGCCCTCCAGATCTCTCATGTGCATTCAAGGCCTGCCGTCATCTGTGCTTTGCAGCCTTATTTTCCAATCATTTCCCTCAGGCCCTCAGGACTGTCATCAAACCCACGCAGAGTTTTTTCCCCTTCCTTTGTTCCCAGACTCAGACTGCCCTAGACTTGGAATGTTCTTTCCCTGTGGAAATCTTGCCTGCCCTTCAAGGCCCAAATCTTCCATGGGGTCATTTCTTATCTCCCAAACCAGAACTAGTGTGTAGTCTGTGCTTTCAGAGGACTCTGTCCATGGTTTCTCATCTAATGTCATTTTCCCTTGAATTATAGTTAGCTGTGAACCTGTCTTTCTCCCCCATTACATTGCAAGCTACTTAAGAGGAAGGATCCTGTGTTTTTTCACTGTGGCGCCTCCAGCATCCGGTCCGTGGGGAATATTCAGTGCATGTTTGTTAAGTTGAATTGCCACGATCCTTTTCCCTTGAGAACTCCTTAGGCTGGCAGTCACTCTCTGGCCACACTTGCTCAAAGTCACTCACCCTTGCGGAAGCAAAATAAGGCGAGGCCCCTGCTCTCCAGAGCTACTTCCTGCTGTGCCCAGAGTGAGTCTGCTAGTCCCAGGGGCAGCTTGGTCCTCAGAGTAGCCCTGTCACCTGGCATAGTGGCAAGAAGGAGAAGCTAATCTTCCTAGATGGGTGTGATCTTAGGGTGTTTCCTGGCAAGGCATGTCTGAGGACGCAGGGATAGACAGCAGTCCCATCTGTGCGCAGCCAATCCGAAGAGCAGGACTTCTTTGACCCCGCTTCCAATAGCCACCATTTGATTGTGACGGAGGGACTTGCCAGGGAGTGAGAATGGCCAAGTCAGTTGAAAGAAGAAATAGAAGGGCTTGACTAGTTTCATTACCTGGTTAAACGAGAGCACTGTCTGGCTTCACCTCAGCCCAGCACGTGCCCCTTCCTTCCCTGTGCCTTGTTGGGTGTGCACCAGCGTCTCTTCATTTCCAGGAGATTGTGGGAAATCCACGTGGAAGCCCCGCAAGCCCCTGGCGCCGCGTTGGTGCTGGTTGGCCGCCTGCATGCGCGTGCACTCAGACACTGTTGTGGGGGCGTGGTGGGAGGCTCTGCCGGGTCCTGCTCTGAGCTCACCTCTTTTCTCTTTGCAGTACATCTTTGTGGATGCTTACGCCCAGTACCTCTGGATCACGTTTGACTTCTGCAACACTGTCTACGGCTTTTCCATCCCATTCCAGGCAGCTGATCTCCTTCTGCATAGTAAGGCTGCCAACCTTCTCCTGGGCTTTGACAGGTCTCACCCCAACAAGCAGGTAAGAGAGCTTCCGGAACACAGTCAGGGGGCTCCTCGAGTTTTCTGTTCTGCCTGTGTGGGTGGCGTGCCCTTTGAGTGCCCTCCTCCCGACACCCCCTTCTCCCCTCTAAAGCTTAGCCTTTGTAGCTACTATTTCATTTCCTATGGCTAGGGGAAAATATATTCCCTTGGCACTCTCGGTCTGCATCTCAGCCAAGGAGGGACACCGAGCACTTGGCAGGCCCCGCTAGTTAAACGTCATGCCCTTCTCGGTGCACATGCACCTTTGTTAGTCCTGGGGGTACATCGAGGCTCTGGAATTTAATCAGAGAGAGCCAGGTAGAGAAGTCTGGAGGCTCAGCTCTGCTGGGACCTCTTAGGGAATTTCTGTTCTCCCTTCCCCATCCTCCACTTTGAACATGCTTTTGCCTACCATTTATTTGAAGTTACCATTAACTTTAATGGTGTGTGTGTGCACATGCATATAATATAAATGTGTGTGTGTTTTCCTCCTTTAATCCATATTTGAAGGAAAAGTGAGAGATGGGGAGAGACACTGAGGAGGATTTATATCTCAGGATTGAAACTTGCCAAGTCAAGAATGTTGGTCTGGCATCATCCTATGAAACCTTTAGATCCTGGAGGATTGGATTTATGATGAGTTTTGGATGGCTTTGCTCAGAGGAACCTGGGAACATTTCTTTTTCTTTGCAGGTTGTTTAACCAAAACGTGATCTGTTTACCTTCATTGCCTTAGGGAGTAACCTAAGCGTGGGCTGGGTCAGTTTACCAGTGTAGGTGGGTTATTGTTATTTTTGGTCTCCTGCTTCTCAATACATGGTCTCTAGGGCCAGAGGAATCTCCGGTTATGTCTTTGGAAGTTGAGGAGCTTTGGCCAAGATCAGCAAGTTAATTTCTCATGGCCACACCCTGTGTATTCAGTTGGTTCCCTTTGGTAGTCTTTGGTTCTGTACTTAGCCGATGTCCTCTCCATTCAGCTTTAATCACCATGGCCCATTATGGGTTTTTAGGACACTCTTTCCCAGGCAAGAAGTACTGAATATAATACCTGTGTTTTTACCATCACCTGAGGGCTAGTCTTGAGTAAAATATCATTTCTGATAATCCATAAATGGAAGACAAGTCACAGTCATTTTTCCTTCTGTTGAGAGACCTTGGTTGCTATTGAGACCATAGTAACTTTGGAGAAGAATGCAAAGGTGCCGATCTGTTCTTCCCTCCCTGCCCTTGTGTGCGCTGGAGTACCCGGGCTGGCCTTGGGGATCTCGGTGCCTGTCTTCACAGGCAGCGTGCTGTTTAAGGTGGGATTTCGGAGGGTGTGTGCTGGCGATGCCATTCAGGTTGTGCACGCCTCTCACGTCGTGATCACCTCTTGTCCTTTGGTCTTTGCAGCTATGGCTGTCGGATGATTTTGGCCAGACCTGGATCTTGATTCAGGAACATGTGAAGTCCTTTTCTTGGTAAGTCATGCCAGCTAAGAAATTTGAATGACCTGATCTCCTTTCTTCAGTTCTAGCTCCTTCCTGGAGGACACACCTCCCCTCACCTGAGATGTGAAGCATTTGGTTCAGGAAATAGAATTTCCAGACCTGGGAATTAGAGCTGCAAGTATAACAGACTCACTGGGGTCCTGAGGGGGAAGAGGGGCAATGAGGAAGGAAGATGATTTGTGAGAGTGACAGCTTTTGCATTTTTCAGTCCATCAGGGAATCCGGGGGAATCTTGAAGCTCTTGCACGTACTCGACTTTCTAAAGACCATCATTTTTAGAGCATCATAGCAGCAGTGGGGATTTTTCTCTATCTAAAATCTGTTCATTTGTTTATTCATAACTTTTTTTTAATGTCTGCTAAGTATAAAACATGCTAGATGCTTTAGGGTGTAAGAAGTTGAATAACTTATGGGTTTAGTTATTAAGGAGATTGCAGTGTAGGAGGTAAGAAAAGACGTTTTGTGCAGATAACACACATTATAAAAGGAGCACAGAAGTCATGGACCTAGCATGAGAAGCCAGAGGAGGGACATAGTCCTTCTAGACGGGAAGATCACAGACAGCTCCATGGAGGAGGCTGCTGTTGCTCCAGGATGTGCGCAACAGGTAGGGTGTTCCTGTATGAAGGTGTGCAGGGCGGCAACTCGAGACAGGAACAGAACGGCCAGCAGCAGAGATGAGACCTTGTGGTGCTTGGGTAGGGAACATTTAGTCTTATTTTTGGACAGTGTGTTGAGTGAAATTTGGAAAGGGACATTGGTATCAGAATCTGTAGTGTTTGATAAAAGAATTTGGACTGAATTCTGAAAGCAGTGAGGAGCCATTGTAGGTTTTTGAGAAGGAAAGTGAAATCAACAGGGCTGCACTCTTAGATGTACAGTTGTTTCTAGTCATAGTTGCTTCTGATCTTATCCTGTTACAGGGATGCAGGCTATAATCTTGGATATAAGAATTTGTACGTGTGCAGGTGAAGGTGTAGAACAGATTCCCAGGAGCGGACCTGCTGGGTCAGTGGGCCGCTCAAGCCACTCACACATAGCAAACTTGACACCTCCCAGATGGACTCTTGATCTTCACCACCACACAGCAGCTCCACCCGTCATCTTCCCCGTTTCGGTTTCTACTTGCTCAAGCCAAAAACTTTGAGTTGTTGTTGATTCCATGTTTGCTTCGTGTTTCGTGTTCAGTCTATCAGGAAATCGTATTGGCTCTCCCTTCAGTGTATATCCAGGATCTACTGCTCAGCTGCTGCTTTACTCCAAGCACCATTGTCGCTCAGTAGTCACCCAACTGGTCTTTCTGCTCCACTCTTGTCTTTCTACAGCTGATTATCAGGACATGGCCCGACTGATCTTGTTAAAAACAGGTCAGATCATGTTGTTCCTCTACTTTGAACCCTTCAATATGCACCATCATTTCTCTCAGATTAAATGCCAGGTACATTCCTACCACAGGGCCTTTGCACTTGCTATTTTCTCTGCCAAGAATGTTCTTACCCAAGATATATTTAGCGCTACTCTCTTACTCATTGAAGTTTGCTCAAACAACACCTTATAAATGAGGTCTGTCCTAAGGATCATATTAAAATTGCAACTACTCCCCTGTTGTTCCCAATCTGCTGGACCCTGATCTCTTCTTTTTTGCATAGCACTCATCACATTCTAATATACTATTATTATGCTTATTATTTGTCTTTCTCTCTTCAATAGAATAAAAGCCCCACAAAGGCAGGGAGTTTCGTCCATTTTGTGCACTGATATCTCCCCCAAGGATAAAGCATTGAAATTGTAACTTTGGTAGAGATCGCCAAATTTTCTTTCTTTCTTTTTTTTTTTTCTTTTTTGCTGGGAAAGAGTCGCCCTAAGCTAACATCTGTTGCCAGTCTTCCTCTTTTTTTTTCCTCCCCAAAGCCGCAGTACATAGTTGTATATTCTAGTTGTAAGTCCCTCTATGTGAGCTGCTGCCACAGCATGGCTACTGACAGATGTGTGGTGTGATTCTGCCCCTGAGAACCAAGCCCAGGCTGCTGAAGTGGAGCGTGCTGAACTTTAACCACTAGGCCATCAGGGCTGGCTCATCTTTCTTTTCCTTGTGTTCTTTTTGCAGTTTTATTGAGAAATAATTGACATACATCACTGTATAAGTTTAAGGTGTACAGCACGATGGTTTGATTTACATATGTTATGAATGATTACCCAATAGTTTCAGCTAATATCCATCTTCTTGTATACATACAAGAAAAAAATGAAAGGAGAAAAGAATAAAGAAAAAAATTTTCTCCTTGTGATGAGATTTAGCATTACTCTCTTAACAACTTTCTTGTATATCATACATCAGTGTTAACTATAGTCTTCATGTTGTACATTACATCCCTAGTACTTATTTACCTTATAACTGGAAGTTTGTACCTTCTGACCACCTTCCTCCATTTCCCCCTCCCCCAACCCTCTACTTCTGGTAACCACATGTCTCATCTCTTTTTTTTTTTTCTAAAAGACTCCACATATGAGTGAGATCATATAGTATTTGTCTTTCTCCAAATTTTCTATAGAAAGTGTCAAATTTTGCACACATCTCAATAGCATAGAATTGTGCCTCACTCCACAGCCAATGTGTTAAGTATGAGAAGTAGTATCTCAGGGCCGGCCCCGTGGCTTAGCGGTTAAGTGCGCACACTCTGCTACTAGAGGCCTGGGTTTGGATCCTGGACGCAAACCAACGCACTGCTTCTCTGGCCATGCTGAGGCCACATCCCACATACAGCAACTAGAAGGATGTGCAACTATGACATACAACTATCCACTGGGGCTTTGGGGGGGTGGAAAAAAAAAGGAGGAGGATTGGCAGTAGATGTTAGCTCAGAGCCGGTCTTCCTCAGCAAAAAGAGGAGGATTAGCATGGATGTTAGCTCAGGGCCGATCTTCCTCACAAAAAAAAAAAAGAAGTAGTATCTCAGTGTGGTTTTAATTTGTGTTTTTCTTATTATGAATGAGTTTGAACATCTTTTAACCTGCTTAAGGGTCATTTGTATTTATTTATTTTTTTGTGATGTGTCTGCTCGTGCTGTTTGCCCTTTTCCTATTGGATTGTTCGTCTTTTTATTATTGATTTCTAGGAGCTCTTTATATATTTGAGATTAGCCTTTTGTGATATGAGATAGCTTGTATATGTGTGTTCCTTTATATTTCTATTTTGTAGTTTGTCATTTGACTTTTGACTTTTATGTATATTTTTACTCCTCACTAAATATGATGGGCCAAAAAGATGTAGATACTGTCTGTGTTTTCTTTAGCTCTCTATTTGAAGAGGAGTATCTCTGAGTTGGTATTGCTTCCTTAGTAGTTGAGGGCAGTAAAGAGGGAGGGAGCACAGGGAGGGACCTTACAGCTGAGTATCTTTGGGCTCCAATGGACTTCCTTTTCATAGAGGGCAGACCCTTTCATTATTTTCCTTGGGCAGACATTGTAGAGTCTTAGTGAAACTATAACCACAATCTTATCCAAGTACAACCTCTACCCAAGGAATACCGTTAGAACTTTCTTTTGCTTTATTTGAATTTTAAAAGGACAGATTGCTCTTTTATATGTTTAGGGAACCATATATTAAGAGTGCAAACCAGCAGGATTACTAAATAAAGGAACTTTACTTTTGGGACTTTGTATGTTGTACTTTCTACCTCTGTGTGGACATGCAAATCTCTTAGGGGAAAGAACTGGCCTATCTTATTTTAGATAATTACATGTCTCGTGTCAGGGAATTTCAAGCTATTTGGGGGATTTTCCCCTAGGACTCCCCATAATAAGTAAGAGTGTTATCTAACTTCTCAGAGAATAATGGCATACATCTGTTCAACAATGCTTGGCAAGCAGGACGGTGCAAGAGTCCTGGGGGAGGGGCTAAAGGATGCCCTGTCGAGCATCATTGAAGGGCTTGGAAGTGAGGCAGATGAGACCAGATGAGGACCGATGCCTGTGCTCAGAGATGGAGCAAGCTTTGGAATTCCCAAAGGAGGGCAAAGAGAACAGGGAATGGGTGTGAGTGAGCGTAAGAAGTGGAAGGCTAGTGTTTGCAAAGTTCAAGAACTTGTAGGTGGAGCGGCTCTCCGAAATGGGAGGTCCAAGTATGGATTATGGAAGAGTATTGGCATGAAAATCACAGCTCTTTCTACCTCTAGATGTTGGCTGCGACTTCTGGCAAGGCAGGAATAATAGAGGGGAACTTGGTCTCAAAATATCTGAATAAAGGTCCCTTCCTCTCTGCCTTGTTAAAAATATCCAGCAGCCTCGTTTTAATTTGCATATCCCCTAGGGTAGGGGAAGTACTTTAATCGGTACTTCTAATTGTGGAAAGGAAGAGAACATGCCACCACCCCCGCATACGTGCACACAGAGCCTCTGACGATGAACGGTTGTCTCCCACATTAGGACTGAGGCCGCTGGTTTCTCCAGATTGAAGGGCAAAAGTCTTTTGTTTTTCTATTTTTTATCTCCCTTCTTCCTTCCTCCTTTCCTTCCTCCCTTCCTCCTCCTTCCTCTCTCCCTCCCTCCTTTCTTTTTTTTGTTTTGAGAACATCCTCTTGACAGTACATCTTGAAGGAATTTTATATCATTACCTTCATTATCCTGAGAGCCATCATGTATATGGAACTGTACAAAGACGGTTACTTGAGTGAGTCCTTGCGCCTGTCCTTGGGTCAGCACTGCGTCCTCACTGTGAAGCTCTCTTCCTGATTTTTCCAATGATTTTTCCCTCTTGCTGAATGGTCTGCCAGGGCTTGGTGTTCTTGTGAGTATTAGGAAACCCGGGCCAGAATAGCCATCCTCCCAGGTGCTGTTTGGGGCCTTATTTGGGGAACATCTGTTCAAAGATTCTTCTCCGAGGTAGTCTAACCTAGTCACTCTGCAGTTTTCAGTTGGGAATAGCCTCTGTAATTATGGTCCAGGGATCCAGTGCAGCAGGGATCAATTCAGATAGGATCCCTGTAGGATAAAAAGAAATACAAGACATGGCTTTTAAAGGCACCCATACTCTTTCTAGGAAGCTCAGACAAACACATATGGTAGGCAATACAATCCACTGAATAAGAAGCACCTCTGTAGAAAGTAACTAGAGTGATTTCAAAATCTACTCGTCCTAAAGCGGTTTTCTATCTTTGCTTGAAACTCATACAAAAGGCCTGAAATTGAGTGCTGCAGAGAAGCATCGCTAGTGTGGCGAGATGAGAGAAGAGCATTGGGAGAGGCTTCCTGGAAGAGGGGGACTTGAACTTGACCTCAGAAGATGAGTGGGATATAGATGTGCAGAGCAGGATGTGTGCCAGGGCATCTCTGCAGAGGGTACAGCGTTGACAAAAGCATGGAGGGAGAAGCGAGCCCTGCGTTTTGAAGGATGGCAGGAGATCTGGATGTGCTGAGAAATCCTGTGATGGAGCCTCGCGGGAGAGGAATTTGCGCTGGGAGGATGACTCCTGATCGCAGACATCAGTGACAGCAGCACGAAACAGAAAGAGAAAGGGCAGGGTCCACTAGAAAGATCAGGCTCACTGGTTCCTCTTGTGGTTTCCTCCAGAGCTGTTCTTCTGAGAACGGAGCATCCTGGGGAAACGCTCTCCTTGATTCCTCTGAGCTTCAGAACTTGAGGCCAGAAGCTTGCTGACAGCCTCAAGCAGTTCATTGCTTATTGATTCTGAACCATTCTGCCTTTTGCTTTTTCTTCTTTTCGCTCTTCTGAAGCGTGGCCAGAGCGTGCCTTGAGCGAAACCCAGGATGCTTTGAAAACAGCAGTAGCAATACAAAACACTTTACAAATGGCCGTTCTTTCCTTCTATATATATGTTTGTGGCACAGAGAGTGTCATTTGTAGATCCCCCCATGGTGGCCCTAAGTTCTAGCTGATTGTCTGCAGGGCAGAACCTCCATGCCTGCAATGATTAAACATGGAATTGATAACAACCACTTTTTTTCCTTCCAGGGGAGTTGATCCCTATGACAAGCCAAACACCATCTACATTGAACGGCATGAACCCTTTGGCTACTCCACAGTTTTCCGAAGTACAGACTTCTTCCAGTCCCTGGGGAACCAGGAAGTGATCCTCGAGGAAGTGAAAGACTTTCAGCTTCGGGACAAGTACATGTTTGCTACAAAGGTGGTGGTAAGTGCAAGGCGCTAAGGAATAAACTGCTTTTGAGTTTCCTTTCTGAGCTTTGGCATTCTTTGGTCAAGCAGGTGAGTTTGCACAGCAGGGATTGGATCAACGTGTCTGGGGGAGCTTGACTGAAGGGGGTGGACATAGGTGAACCTTCCCAAGGGGCTTGGATGGTCCTGGGAGGTCGAGGAGTGGAGAAGCTTAGTCAACCGTTTGGAGTATCTCTAGGCCAGGAATTTGGTTGTTTTCTGATAGTTAAGCATCCTTGACAAATGCATATTGAAATCCCAATTAAAAGAACACAGAAAGGAGGGATGGGGCTCTGGCTTTTTTTCTTTAATCCCACTGCCTGATTTCCTTTCAATTTAGGGTGATTTATTTGTGAATTTTGGACACGTGCTAATTTACATGGCTAATAGAAAGTGTAGTCATTGGCTAGTGGGAGTTAATGCTCTGAGAGAAGCAGTAATTAAGCTTCCAGCTGTCAGTAAGTAGCTTAACTCTCAGCCTTTGGGAAAATCTTCCCCTTGATTTGATGTGTTGGAGCCAGATGCTGAAATGGAGGTCTTGCTCATTTAAAACCAGAGTTGATTATTTAACAGGACTTGCCTTGCAACTGTATCAAGTTGCAAGTTGCAACTGTACTGCCCCTGTGTAAAGGCAAGAACCAGGCCCCGCCGAGAGCAGCTTGGGCTGCCCTTCCTGGGGCGCTGTAAGCTTGCTTTCTTATTGGCAGCCGTTCCCTCGTTGACATCAGGCTCTGTTGAAGGCCCCTGGAAACTGGGAAACAGTTACACCCACACCCACACCCACACTCACAGACACACAGAGTAGCCCAAGGACACAAGCATCCTTGAATTGCCTTGGGCAGGGATGTGGTGTGATGGGGAGGCAGAGGTGAGAAATCAGACCTGAGGACTGGTACCTTGTGATATCCTGTTGGGCAGTCCTGACTTTCAGTATCGTCTCCAGTCCTCTGGTGTTCATAGGTCTTTTCTGTTTTAGATCCTTAGGCCTGAATTTATTTGTATGGTTTTAATTTCTTGATTTTAAGACATAGTGACTGATTCCCACATTTGTCCTACTGACTGAGTTGGGGCTGAGGTGGAGAGCTGTTGTGCATTTCGCTTAACCCTATTGTTTCTAGATCTCACACCCAAGAGTTTAAGTTATGTCCCAGTTGGAGCTTTCTGTGCCCTCTGTTCTGACCTAATAGCTATGTCAGTTCTCTAGATATAGCTGATTTGCAGAGTGCCAGTGGTAATTTTTTTTTTTTAATTCCTGGCCAATGGTAAGATCAGGGGCTGTGTCTGTTTTGATCATCACTGATATTGTACCCAGGATCTTGCATAATAGCCAGCCCTGGTGGTCTAGTGGTTAAGAATTGGCTCTCTCATCACTGCGGCCTGGTCTGTCAGTTGTCATACTGTGGCGGCTGCATGTTGCTGTGATGCTAAAAGCTATGGCTGCCAGTATTTCAAATGCCAGCAGGGTCACCCATGGTGGACAGGTTTCAGCGGAGCTTCCAGACTAAGACAGACTAGGAAGAAGGACCTGGCCGCGCACTTCTGAAAAAATTGGCCCTGAAAATCCTATGAATAGTGGTGGAGCATTGTCTGATACAGCTCTGGAAGGTGAGAGGGTGGCACAGAAAGACTGGGCTGGTCACCGGGAGTCGGAATGGAGTTGTTGCCATTAACAAGCATCTCGCACAATGCTGGATACATAGCAGGTGTATAGTAGAGTTGAATGAATGCCGTCTTTGCCTACCTAATTTAGAAAACATAGGCTAGTAGATTCTTTTGGGGGTTGGGGTGTATTAAATTATTGGGACTTTTATAGTCAACTCTCAACTCTCTCAACTTTCCCTGTGGCTTATTTATTTCTACGGTATTGGTAGCAAAATTGTAGCTATGTGTTGTCTTCTTCCTTCAGCACATGGACGGGCCACCAGCCTCCAAGGTCAGTGGTCTTAGCTGGAGGCGCTAGGTAAAATGAGCTAGGCCGCCACCTGGAAGTGTTTCTCAAATTGTTGTCTCAGTAGCACCTGCAGTACCATCATGCAAGGGCGCTTGTTACAAATGCAGATTGCAGGGCCCAAATGTGTTTTTTTCCCCTGAGCATCCCTAAGATGCCTAAGACTCTCCAAAATTTGAGAAACTCTTACCTGAGGCTTTTTATGTGCAGAAGCTTTTGATAATAGTCAATTATATTATCAAGGGAATGTTTCTCAATGGATACATTGATGAGAGAAGAAACACAACTGGCAGTGGATGATAAAATGGGTGTTTTCCTCCTTTTTCTTCCATTAGACTACAAGCCATAAGGATAAGCAACATTGGCTCTAGTTGGGTAACCCTTTCAGTAGAAGTGTTGAGGCTTGCAAGTGTAACTTCTTATCTGCGGTGTGCCTAGAGCTCAGGCTGCCTGGGTTTGCGGAATTCCGAGTGACTTTAATGTTAAATGGATTCAAGTTAAGTTAAGAAAGTCAAGGAACTAATTGCAAAACCACAGAAAATTGCTTTTGGGTGATTAACTCTTTTGCTTTCTTTCAGCACCGTGAATGATTACAACTCTTTGCAAGTTAGTTTTTTAGAACGTGTGGTGACAGCCATCTGGGTTCTGGACTGGAGCTGATATCTAAGTCCTCAGAACCCCTTGGTGCACTGTTGGCCTGGCTCTTACTTCATATATGCTTTGTGTCTGATGCCTTTTGATTTTTTTTTTAACCCAAGTTTCATTTTTATTGTTTTTTTTGACACGAGTTCACTTACTTGTCTTAATAGTGCATATCAAAATGATAGGGCCATTAAAGCAACAATGAGGCACCTCTGCAAACTGACTGACATCCTTCTGTTAACTTGGTAGTATCTAGCTGTTAGCTTCTTTCTGGTAGATAACAGTGGTTGCCAAAAAGTTGTAGGTAGGTGAGGGTTAGCTGCCCCTTTACAGCTTCACTACCAGCTTATCATGAAAGCTGGGCTCAGGCATTTCTTGCCCAGATGTGTATCAGTAAGCAAGGACCTGATATGGGGGCTAGATGGAGTCTCCTCTCTGTTCTCGCATGATGCAGATATAATGTTCTAGAGCAGGGATTGGCAAACTATGGTCCTTCACTTGTTTTTGTCAATAAAGTTTTATTGAAACACAGTCGTGCTCATTTGCTTCTATATTGTCTATTACTGCTTTCGTGTTACAGTGGCAGAATTGAACAGTTACATAGAGGCGGCATGGCCTACAAAGTCTAAAATATTTCTATATGGACCTTTAAAGAAAAAATTTGCCAACCCTTGTTGTAGAGACAGGATTCTATTACCCTTTCAGTTGGCATCAAACAACCAGAATCCTCTAGTGCAAGAGCTTGACAAGGCTTAAGCATTACCCCTAAAAGTTCAGGTTACAGGCCTCCCTAAATTGTTATGCCCTGTTCATGTTATGTTTAGGATATTATGGCCACTTCAGATATCTTGCATGCTACTGATCTCCCGAGCTCACTTGTACTTTCACTATTCTGGCCAGCCAAGCAACCACTAATTTCACTATTGAAAATGAATTTCTGACCTTCATTATGCTAATTTAAAGTCTCCAATGTTGATCAAGATAACAGAAAAACTTAGTAATTGCCTCAAGATTAATGGTCTTCTGCATGAGAAGTTAGCTGACCATAATTGGGGTGTGAATTTTAGGGTAGCTGACCAAAACTATTGACAAATTATTTTAATTATAACGTTACTTAAACGTGTGCAAACATAAAGCCGCGTGTAAGTACCTAATGCTTATTAACCTTATGCAACAATAAAACCAAAACATATTTACAGATTAAAAATAAAACTATAATACCAATAAATTTAAAATTATTTTTTATAACACCTATATTGAGATATAATTCATATACCATAAAATTCATCCTTTTAAAGTGTACAATTCAGTGGTTTTTAGTATATTCACAAGGTATATCATAATATACCAAATAACGCTCATCACTACCTAATTCCAGAATGTTTTTATCACCCCCAAAAGAAACTCCATACCCGTTAGCATTACTTCCCATTCCTCTCTCCTCCCAACCCTTGGCAACCATGAATCTACTTTCTGCCTTGTGGATTTGCCTATTCTGGACATTTTGTGTCCGGGAATCATGTAATATGTGACCTTTTGTGACTGTTTTCTTTCATAGTATAATGTTTTCAAGTTTCATCCATGTTGTAGCATGGATCATCAGAATTAATGTGTTTTTAAGTTCATGCCTCTTTTTCTGCCAGTTCAAACCTCTTGTTGAACCCCTCTAGTGCATTTTTCTTTTGAGTTATTGTACTTTTCACCTCAAGAATTTCCATTTGTTTCTCTGCTTATAATTTCTATTTCTTTGTGGATATTCTTTATTTGATGAGACAGTGTCCTTATACTTTCCTTTAATTCTTGAGACATGGTTTCCTTTAGTTCTTTGAACATATTTATGATAGGGGATTTAAATTTTTTGTCTAATAAGTCCAATGTCTGACCTTCCTCAGGAACAGTTTCCGTTGACTCTTTTGTGTGTGTGTGTATGGGCCATACTTGGCTGTTTGTTTGTCTTCTCATTATTTTGTTGAAAACCAGACATTTTAAATGATGTGATGTGGCAATTCCTCATATTAGAGGAGCATGAACCCCCTTCCTAGAATTTTTTGTTGTGTCTTTTCTTATTGTTGTTGTTGTTGTCTTTGTTTTGTTTTGTGAGTTTCCTGCGTTAATTTTGTAAAATTTGTATTCTTCATTGGGTATGGCTACTGAAGTGTTTGATAATTTAGCTTAGTGGTCAGCTAATGATTGAACAGAGATTTCCTTAAACACTTTGAGTCTGGCAGCCTTTGCTGAGGCCTCTGAGCGTGTGTTGGGGGCATGCCTACAATGCAATCTACAACTCTGCCTTAGCCTTCACTTCCTGCTTGTGCAGAGCCTTAAGGTTATTAGCCAGATGTGAGAGATTAGGCCCTTTTCAGTTCTTTCCTGAGCATACTCACAGC